TCACAATCGTTAAATAATAATAGTAATAGTAGTAGTAGTAGTAGTAGTAGTAGTAGTAATAATAATAATAATAATAATAATAATAATAATAATAATAATAATAATAATAATAAAAAAGTTGGAAGGGACCTTGGAGGTCATCTAGTCCAACCCCCTGCTCAGGCAGGAAACTCTATACTACATCCATCTCTCTCTTTCTCTCTCTCTCTCTCTCTCTCTCTCTCTCTCTCTCTCTCTCACACACACACACACACACACACACACACACGGTTTTCCCAAGGCCGAAATCTTCTGCCCGTGGCCTACAAGGGTTTTTTCCCCCCCCCTTCAGACAAACAGAAGTCACCCGTCTCGGGGATCTGTCCAGTTGCCAGAGGAGTGTGTGTGTGTGTGTGGTGGGGTTTGTGAATGTATTTTTACCATCCTTTTGGTGACTCAGAAGCCTGATGACCTCACTGATTTCAGGCAGGCCCAGAAATTCTTTGGGAACAAAAGAGTTTTTTACAGTCATCTTCTGGAAACGATTCAAGGAAGTCTTGGAGGAGAATTCCAGATGAATGCTTTTTTTTTTTTTTTTTAAATGTAATAATAGGGGAAAGGTCTTGGCATTTGGAAAGACTGAATGGGAGCGGTGCGGGGAAAAAAAAAGAGATGTTTCATTGTGCAGTGCAGCATGTTTAATTTTGAGTTTTTTAAGGGTTGGAAGTTCAGCTTGCATCCGTCTAAAGAGCAGTCCCTTTAGACTTAAAACAGATTTTGGAGTGATTTTCCAGGGCGGTTATTGGGAGGGGGGTAAGCGGAGCCCTCAAGAGAGTGGGGGGGGGGCTGGTAGAAACCTCAAAAAGGTCTTCAAAACTCTCTGAGGACAAGAGGAAGCTTAGTAAAAAGAAGTAAAACTTTTTTTAAAAAATGTATTTAGTAGGTTTTTCAATCCCGCCTTTACTGTATTATTTTTTATCAATAACTCATTGTGGTGAACATAAATGCTCCTTCCTCCTATTTTCCCCAGAAAAACAACCCTATGAGGTAGGTTGGGCTGAGAGAGAGTGACAAACCCAAAGTCACCCAGTTGTCTTTCATGTCTAAGGCAGGACTAGAACTCACCGTCTCCCGGTGATTGGCCCAAAGTCACCCAGTTGTCTTTCATGTCTAAGGCAGGACTAGAACTCACCGTCTCCTGGTGATTGGCCCAGAGTCATCCAGCCACCTTGCATGCTTAAGGCAGGACTAGAACTCACCGTCTCCTGGTGATTGGCCCGGAATCACCCAGCCAGCTTTTATGCATTTTCCTAAAAGACTCCTTCTATGCAGTCCAGTAACATTGGGCAGCATTTGTTGCAAGTGTCAATGCCCTTTGGAAAAAACGAGTCAATTTCATTTCTTAGCCAGAATAGAAAAGAGGAACCAGATTTGCTGCTGTTTGGGCAGCAATTTTTATATCACCTAAACATGAAATATTGTACAATCTCCTTTCCTGGCTCCCTGCTGCAACTGTGCAAGCATCGGAAAAGCAGGACTGTGATCCGCAACGAAGATGCTTTTGCATGGAGATCCCTGTAGCTCCCATTTTCAGTCGGTCAGTTCTGCAAAGGACAAGTGTGAATCGGAGTCTGCCTCCCTAAGCCATTTGCTGGTTAATTTTGTTGCTCGATGGGGGGGGGGGGGAACAGCCTATTCAGAACAACAGAGATGGAAGGGACCTTGGAGGTCTTCTAGTCCAGCCCCCTGCTCAGGCAGGAAACCCTATACCATTTTAGACAAATGGCTGTGCAGTCTCTTCTTAAAGACTTCCAGTGATGGAGCACCCACAACTTCTGGAGGGAAGTTGTTCCACTGATTAATCATTCTCCTTATCAAGAAATTTCTTCTTAGTTCTAGGTTGCTTCTCTCCTTGGTTAGTTTCCATCCGTTGCTTCTTGTCCTGCCTTCAGGTGCTTTGGAGAATAGCTTGACTCCTTCTTCTTTGGGGCAGCCCCTGAGATATTGGAAGACACCTGTCATGTCACCCCTCGTCCTTCATTAAATTCAGTGTTTGCAATTCAGCATAATGATCCATTCTTTTGGGGATTAGGGATTAGGGTGTGTAGGTGTGCGTCTCTCCAAAAAAACACTCCTTGCTGTCGTGGTGGCAAGCTTTAAGAAGAGGTTTTCTTTAGAGGAATTTTCCTCTTAGGGAAATTAACGGAGAAGACTAGCAACGGCGAATTCTACTTGTTATAGGTTACCTCCTCGACCAAAAGCAACAGTTGCTGGGCAACACAGCCAGGGCAATCACAGTGTGCGTGTGTCCTGCTTTGTAGCTTTCCAGAAACATCCATCTGTCCACTAGGAAGCGGATCCAAGCTCACTCAAGCCTTCTAAAACAGGCCCAGTGAGTCTCAATACTGTATTGTACTGGCTAAGGATCCACTCTTCTTTTGAGTCATCCGAAAACAAATGGTAGCACAGCCGCATTTATAGGGCTTTTAACACACCCCTGTCCCACTTTCCTGGGGTGACTCATGTCTGACTTCCAGGCGAGTTAGCCGTCAATTCCTTCCTTCCTTCCTTCCTTCCTTCCTTCCTTCCTTCCTTCCTTCCTTCCTTCCTTCCTTCCTTCCTTCCTTCCTTCCTTCCTTCCTTCCTTCCTTCCTTACTTACTTACTTACTTACTTACTTACTTACTTACTTACTTACTTACTTACTTCTTTCCTTCCTTCAATATGTCAGTGCATAACCCAGAAATCTGTGCCACAATAAAGGGGATTTCAGTAGCATTAAAACAGGAGATTTTGCATTGCCTGGAAAATTAAACACCACAACCCAGAATCTTGGGAAAATCTTCTCCCTCTTTATTTTTTTGTTTTGTTTTGTTTTTGAATTTGCAAAAGATAAACTGTTAGAATTGCCTTTGCACAGAATCAGTTTGCCTGTCTACACAATAAGCAAAATAAACAAACAAACTAGTGTTGCATATGGATGCTTAACCTTTGGCTTTGCTCTGGATGACATATAGATGCATTAGCATCCGTTCCACAGCCTTCCTGTTTTAAACACGACTATTGCTGCAGAATCATTTTGTATCCTGGCCTGTTTTTATTTTTGTCATGTGTGTTTTCCGTGTGTCGTTGATCTCCTGCCACTGGCATAGAAAGAGGAGAAAGAAATGCAAAGATCAGCAAGCGTTGCAGAAAATGCAGAATCCCTTGACAGGCAGTGCTGGAAGCCAATCAGATGGTGATCCAACTAGGATGCTGTTCATTTTGGAGGGGGATTTTAAACCTGCTGGATTCCTCCCCACCTCTGTTTCCTCTAGGTCAGGGGTGTCCAACCTTGTTGACTTTAAAACTTGTGGACTTCCAACTCCCAGGATACTCCCAAAGCTGGCTGCGGAATTCTGGGAGTTGAAGTCTGCAAGTCTTAAAAAGTCACCAAGGTTGCTGGCTGGGGAATTCTGGGAGTTGAAGTCTGCAGGTCTTAAAAAGTCACCAAGGTTGCTGGCTGGGGAATTCTGCGAGTTGAAGTCTGCAAGTCTTAAAAGTCAGCAAGGTTGGACACCCTGCTTTAGGTCGTTGTTAGCTTGCCGATGCCTCTTGTGAACCGGAAGCGGCCCAGATGTGCAGATTGCACAGAGGTCTCGCATTTTCTGCAGCCTCTGCATGCACGTGCATGCACGTCTGTCGCCGGGGAGCTGCAGGCTGAGTGCTGCAACCCGATACTCGGTCCTGTTGCCTGACAAGCCTCCAAGAAAGGTGGAATTTCCTGCAAAGCTTGTTGGGTCAGGATCCCAGTCGCCCAAACGCTCCCGGCTTCAGGTGTTCACAGGGCTGGCAGCCCGAGTGGGTGGAGACGGGAATCCAAGCTGAGGATACAGATCCTCCTTTTCCATCTTCGGGGTGTCGTAGGCGCCCCGCCAATGAAAACTTAGAGGGAGTGTTTTTAGTTGAAGTTGGGGCTCTTCCTGCCCATCTTGTGGCCATGAGGCTTCCAGAGTCAAGGAGTGGGAGAGGGCAGGACCTCTGGCCAAGCCAGACCTGCCTGGCTATTGGTGCTAGTCCTCATGGTGTGCAGAAGAGTACATGGCGCTCTCCCCGGTGTGTGGGCCAAGTAAGGGTCAGTTGGAAGGGAGAAGATATCTATATATCTATACCTATATATCCATATATCTATATCTTATATATCTCTATATCTGTATATCTATATCCATCTCTCTCTCTCTCTCTGTAGCTATCTATCTATCTATCTATCTATCTATCTATCTATCTATCTATCTATCTATTTATCTATCTATCTATCTATCTATCTATCTATCTATCTATCTATCTATCTATCTATCTATACACACACACACTTATATACACATACACACACACACATATACATATATGCATATGCAAATTATATATCCCTGTCCTGTAGCTATGGAAAGATTTATCGGACCGCAAACTAGAATGACAAGCCTGGTTGTTAGTCACACGGGGTGACTAAAGAGGTACTCACTGTCTGCCGGGCCCTCCTTTTTCCTAAATCCTGTCTAAAATCCACCGTGAACTCTCCTTCTCGCTGTTAAGTTCGGGGAGGGAAGCAGCGGGGTTATTACGCAAGCAGCGCACCTCCCTTGATTTGTCTTCCTTTTTTTTCCTTTTTCTTTTAAAAAAAGCGCCGTTTCATAAAATCAAGCCGCTGCCTCCGAGTTTAATAGTGTTGTCTTCGGATCCAGCCTCAATGCAGTGCTTGTTCTCGGATGCATACAATGAGGCCAGATTTCAAGTTGCATTTTGCAGTGCATTTCTCTGTTCGGGTGACTTTATTCTGCTTTTTGGGGAAGGGGTGGAAAGATTTCGGCTTTGAATTTCGAGCAACCGTCTCTGAAGGGGGGCAAATGTCTTGCTTCCTCTAAGGCAGGGGTCTCCCAAGGCTGGGCTGGCTGAAGTATTTCCTCCATGGCTGATCATCAGCCCAGCTATTCAGGCTTTTTTAAACAACAGCTCTTTTCTAACCTCTCCTCTCTTCTCTTACAGATCCCAAAGGATCCTTGGAAAAGCGCAAAGTCGGTAAGTGAGGAATACATTTTTTAAATTAAAAAAAAAATTCCTCCACTGCTGAAAATCACTTGTTTGGCCTGCCTACAATAGCTGAGACTTAGAACCAAAATTCTTCATTCTTTGGAAATGGAAATAGAGAATAACAAAGTTGGAAGGGAACTTAGAGGTCTTCTAGTCCAACCCCCTGCTCAGGCAGGAACCCTATACCATTTCAGACAAATGGCTGTCCAGTCTCTTCTTAAAAACCTCCAGTGTTGGAGCATTTACAACTTCTGGAGGCAGGTTGTTCCACTGGTTAATTGTTCTAACTGTCAGGAAATTCCTCCTTAGTTCTAGGTTGCTTCTCTCTTTGGTTAGTTTCCATCTGTTGCTTCTTGTCCTGCCTTCAGGCCCTTTGGAGAATAGCTTGACTCCCTCTTCTTTGGGGCAGCTCCTGAGATACTGGAAGACTGCTATCATGTCACCCCTCATCCTTCTCTTCATTAAACTAGACAGACCCAACTCCAGCAACCGTTCTTCATAAGTTACAGGCATTGAGTATGTCACATCTAAATGCAATAGGAAGAACGGAGTAGATGAATTCTTTCCCCTGTTTTTACTCTCTCAACAGCCTGGCGAAGTAGGCTGGGTGTGAGGCAGTGAAGCCAACGCAATGACAACTTGGGGTAGAAAGTATTTTGAATTAGACGGGGTCCTCGTAGCCTACCCTTCCTTTTGCATCAATTCTCATAGTCCTGATTCACTCGTGCCGTTGGTTTCGTTTAGCGCATGGTGTAAAAACGCAGCCACTCGCATGATGTTGGGTTGTTTTTTTTAAAACTATAACTACGAACAAACTATAGTTTGGCCCTGTACATGAACAGAAGCCTTGTCCTCTCGAGCCGATTGGGTTTTTTAAAAAAATGTCCTTTTTCTTCCAGGAACAAAGAAGAAAAGACCACCCATTTTAAGAATGCCCTCGGTTAATAAACAGTCACCTGTCCCTGCAACGTAAGATCTATTTCTCCTCTTTTTACGGACAAAACTCAAGTAACAAAATGTTTGGCTCCCTTGGGGTCGTAAGTGAAGGACACTCTGTAAAAGTGAAACGTCGTTCGGCTGAACCCCGTTTTCAATGAAAATGCCGGCCTTAAGAGGCTGAAAGACTGGGAGGCCACGTTGATATTTTCCGAATGAGATCCAATCAAAAGGAATGTTAAGCAAACTTGGTTTTGTCCACGACTCTGTTTAGTGAACCGCAGATGGAACGAAGAAGCAGATGTTCTTCCAGGCGTTATCCCTCCCCACAGTCCGTTGTTTCTGAATCCGTCTGGACAATCGGCCTAACTTATGTCAGCGGCATCCAGTTACCTAATGAGATAATTGATGTTTTCATATAATTGGCCTCCATTTATGTCACTCGTGTGGTTAGGTGACGTTGGTTAAGTGTTAGACCAAATGACGTAAGCCGGTGCATCTGAGGTCAACATTTCCATGACATAACCTCCTCACCAAAGGACATCAGTTAAGGTCCTTTGGATTTAATGGACTCCCTGCTGTCTGTTAAATGCAACTTTTGTTGTAATGCCAGAACACGAGAAAGGATGAATTGTGTCTTCTTTAGCTTGGGATGTCTGATTGATCAGCTGAAGCCGCAACTCGATTGATTATATTTTTTTAATCTTGTTTTCTTTTTCCAATGCTAGAACGTAGGAGGTGGGCACCAAGTTTCGGGCTTTGGGTCTTCTCCAGAACCAGGACTGGATTGAATTCTTTTCTTTTTGTTTCTTCCACAGACCACCAAGGAACTTGGACTCCAGGACTTTTATCACCATTGGAGAAAAGGTAGATCTTGTTCTCTGTCCAAGCTTTTGACTTTTTCTTCTGCAGAATTCTTTGATTTACTGTTTATCTTGTTGCTTTTTCATGAAATTAAAACGGGAGAGGCTCAGAACTGCAAGGATAGTGCCCCCTCCATACGAGTGTTTCTTTGTGTAGGCAAAGCTTGTGTGTAGGTACCCGGTTGGGACAAAATCCAAGGTGTGGTGGTTTCACCCTCTTCTTGTTGAGCTTCTCCTTGTGGTCCCATAAGGTTGACTACTGGGTGCATGCAACTGTGGTTTGCTTAGTTTTTACTTAGCAAGCGACGTTCTTCTCACATTGGTAGACCACTGTTGTTCAAATTTGGCACCTTTAAGACCCGTGGACTTCAACTCCCAACATGCTGATTGGGGTATTCTGGGAGTTAAAGTCCAATCTTGAAATTGCCAAGTTTGAAAAAGACTGCTGTAGATCATGAGTGCCAGCTGTAGAGGTTGTATCAGCCTTGCACCACAAGCCGTAATTACCACAAGCCATGGCTTGGTGGGCGAGAATCCATCTCATCCCAAGAAGCTGGCCTGATAACATCTCCAGAACTTCTGGAAGAATGTTCTTCTAAGCTCTTCCAGTATCTTAAGCACTTGGGGAAACCCAGGTCTCCTCTTTCATACCTCTTGTTTTCTGTTGAACCTGACCTCAGTGCTCTTCTGAGTTCCTCCTCCTACTCTTTGTGGGCCTGACCTGACCTAATGGATGGGTCACTTGAGGTCACCGTCTCTCTTCCTCCCAACAGCCTTTTCTATTCCTGCCTTTGAAAGCTTTCCATTGGCTGTGGGCTGACCCAGCTCGGACTCTTGGGAGTTTGTGTGACCCTCACACTTAGCAGCTAGAAATAGCTGCTGGTTTCTGGTTACAAGCTGCCCCATAAACTGTCAGTCAAAGAATAACGATCTTTGTTTTAGACACGGAGATCGCTTCCTTTGGGAAGGCCAAAGCCATCAGAGATAATCTGCATTAAATGTCTGAAGTTGTCTGGGGTGTAAAGGACCCGGTCCTTCCCCAGATCTCCTGTTTTTCTTTTCTCCTTGCCTAGAAAGTCTCCTGCCATTTAGACTTTCCTGTAAGCTGGAATGGCAATGGGCCACTTCTGTTTAAGAGTCAAAGAACGCTTTATTAAATTACACGGCATAGTTCTGCTCCCTCTGTCCTCAGCTGCGAGGGGAAATTCCAACTTTTTCTCCACGATGGCAAAAAATGACGATTTATGAGCAGGTTAGGGGGACCAGTTGGTCCAAGGGACACCTTGGGGAATTTCTTCAAGAGTGCATTTGTGGAAAAAGACAAAAAGTGAGATCTACGGTTACCTATTTGCTGAATAGCTGGAGTGGTGGAAAGACAAAACATGGAGATTCTCCATCCTCCAGGCCATGATTGTCCCAAAGGTGCTTTTTTCAGGAGGCAACTGGACTTCCTTGTTTATCTTTGAAGATGTTTCGCTTCTGATCCAAGAAGCTTCTTCAGCTCTGACTGGGTGGTGGGGAAGGGAAGGATTTATACTCCTTGCAGACAGCTGGTCATTTGCATCCTTTTAGGGAGTCGTTGAGGCCACTTGAAGGTTTATCTGTGTCCTCAGTGGTGCTTTTTCAACTGGACTTTCTTGTTTTTCTTTGAAGACCTTTCATTTCTCATCCCAGAAGCTTCTTCAGCTCTGACTGGAGGGGAATGGAAGGATTTATACTCCTTGCAGACAACTGGACAGCTTTTAGAGAGTCCTTGAGGCCACTTGGAGGTTTATCTGTGTCCACCTGAGTAGTGCAAATGGGTATGGAGCCTTCTTGGCTGCAAGATTTTTCTGTCCTGTGTCAGCTGCAGTGATAAAATGGGGCAAAACTCACTTAACAAGTTTCTCACTTAGCAACATAAAAATTTGGGCTCCAATTGTGTTCTTAAGTCGAGAACTACCTGCGTTCCCAGGAAGAAAGATAATTGCTAAAGAGTTGGGTGTTGCTTTACTTTCTTGTTTCTCAAACCTTGGCGAGTTTCCGCTGCGTGGACTTCATCTCCCAGAATTCCACGTGCAAGTCAGAACACGGTTATTTTCCCTTTTTAAGGATGTTTTATGTGGTTTCCAGATTGTCGATGGCAACAAGTTGACTTGAACGGATGGAAGGTTGTGCCTCGAAGTGTGTTTTTGTTAGTTTGTTCACGCAGAGGGCACGAGACCTGTTTCTATGTTCTTAACCTGTTGGCCATTTTCTTTACTCTGTTTTTTGCATCACGTCCGATCTGCAGAACTTTGAAGTTGAGGCCGATGACTTGGTGAGCATCTCCGAACTGGGCCGAGGTGCTTACGGCGTGGTGGAGAAAGTGCACCACGCGAAGAGCGACACGATCATGGCTGTGAAGGTGAGAACCTTAGCAAAAGGGCTGCAAATATTTGGACGGACTAAGGTTGCGTGGGTCAACCATCAAGGGAGATCAGGCTAGGACAGGCGCTGGTCTAGAAATTGGCAGATGGTGAGTTCTAGTCCTTCCTGAGTCAGGAAAACTGGCTGGGTGACTTTGGGCCAATCACCAGGAGATGGTGAGTTCTAGTCCTGCTTTAGCCATGAAAGCTGGCTTCAAGCCAGTCACACACTCTTAGCCTCACAGGGTTGTTGCTGTGGGGAACCGAGGAGGAGGAGGAAGCAGTATTAGGTAGCTCATCATTGATTTCTAATAAATAAATAAATATTAGCGTTGCTCCATCTTGAAGAGTGGACAGCCAAGTCCCAGAATTCCCCACCTAGCAGAGCTCTCAGTGGAACTTCTGGACATTGTGGTCCATTGTCTTGAGGTTAGGAAGGTGGTCCATCCATCCTTCCTTCCTCCCTCCCTCCTTCCATCCATCCATCATAATTAGTTTCCTTCCTCCCTCCCTCCCTCCCATCTATCCATCATTAGTTTCCTTCCTTCCTTCCTTCCTTCCTTCCTTC